ACAGTCTCCACTGAAGGAAGTGGCCAGAGCCTCAGCAGGCCAGACTCCTCCTCCCACCAGGCCTGAGCCCACTCCTACTGGGCAGCTTGGGTGGTTAGTTTAGGATAGTAGGGTGTGCTGCTACAGCCAGGACCTAATAAAAGCGCTCTGCTAATCTGTTTAATGAGCAGCATCCTGGCACTCATGCACACAGCATGGCTGGCTGGGGCAGACAGTAGATGCTGATCCTTTTGTGGTGGAAATCCCTGGGCTGCCCCAAGGCGGAGCCTGGGCCCCAGGTACCCTCTTCCAAATACTCACAGCACTGCCTTCGCAGGTCCCTGAGGGTCCTTCTGGGTCCTGGAGACTTGTGATCCACCCCCCACCATTGCGGTGCCACCCAGGAGCCCTCTGAGGGTCTCAGGCTAGACAGACCTGAGCAGCCAGCCCCAAGCAGAATCCACCTTGGCCTTCTGCTGAAGCCTTCCTCCCACTGAGGCTCCGCTGTTCCAAGTCTCACTGAGGCCTGGTGTGCTCAAAGTCTCCCTCCTGAGGTCTGGGGAGCCAGACCTCATGATACAATAGTTGATGCATGAAAAGTCATGCTGTCATCACCCCTAACACCCCTTCACTCATCGTAGAGCTCCTAGGAGCCAGGCATGGACAAACTCATGCTTGGGCTCTGCCTGTCTCCACAGAGATTGACTATGGCTCCTCTCTGTGTTCCTCTGCTGATGTGCAGGTAACCAGAGTCCTTCGGAGAGGTCAGCCACATCTCTTCGACCTTCAGATACCTTAGGAGTTTGACAGGCACAGTGTGGAATGGGGGGGACAACCTGAAGACAAGGCCTCCTCTACTTTTAGCTTATTTATTTCCTGAAATAAGAGGCCTCCTCCTCCTCTCTGCTGCCCCTGCTGTTCTCTCCTATCCCCTGTGGCCTGCCCATCCCAGCCTGTGCCACTGGGGATCAGCTATGGTGACAAGCCTGTTTCCTAGTGAGAACAGTAGGGATTTGGGGACATAGGCACTAGTGGGCACTGGGGTCCAGCATTCAGCCTGCCCCAGTACCAGTTCTCCCTCTGGGGTGAACCCAGATCCCGTGGCTTCCTCTTTGTCTTTGGTGTTCCTGTCTGTAACATGGGGCTATCACTCCTACCTTCCAGGGTCACCTAGTATCTGGAGAATATGAGGGTACAGTTTGAGTCCAGGCTTTTCTGGGACACTTCCTTAGGCTCTGGCCTGTTGGGGGAAAACTGGGGGGTCATGGAAGAACAGGCTTTCTTAAAGCCAGCTGCCCCTGGGCCAGACTCCATGCTGCTGGGAGAATCTCCCTAGTTGCCTGCCCTGGTTGGTTTCTGCTAGGCTTCACCTGGAGTGTACTTATACTGCAGGAAAACTGCTGAGAGTTGAACAGTGTGGGACTGGGGTTGGGGCTTAAGGGGCACATTGCTGAACCAAAGCCGGGCCACTATGTCAAAATGCACAAGGGTCCCCCAGGAACCTCTTCAGCCTGCCTCCCTCCCTTTCCTAGCAACCTGCCTGCATGGGGCCCCATCTGTCACTGCATGGGCCACAGGTCCCTGTGTGTCCCCTTCTAGAAGCCGTTGTGTTATGCTTACTGTGTGATTCCTCTTCCCCCACCCCTTACGGAAAGATTCACACTTCTGCCTCTCGGCCTGCCCCCCCATGACTGGTCCGTCTCCCGCCGCCTCACGTGCATGTCAGTGTCCCGGACCGCAGAGTTCCGACGCAAGACCGCCCTTTTCCCGAGTGTCACCCCTGCGCCTCCCTCCACCCTCTCCTCCTGCTTGTGGAGATCAGTGTCCTTCTGGATCATTGTCCATATCTCTCAAAGACAAAAAAGAAAAAGACTCCTCAATGCTTTTCTTTTCAAAAGGGAAAAAAAAAGGAAAAAAAAAACAATGCCAACAGCCCAGCGTCCGTGAACAACCCAACAGTAACAAAGCATGCGTTCGGGATGGAGGAAGGTAAGGCCACACGTTTCCACTCTCCGATTGCTTCTAGGGCTGGTGGGAGGGGTGACGAGAAGCAGGGAGACAGTGTGCCCCATGTGCCCCTCCTTCGTGCTCACGTCCCACACACTCTCACTCTCGCATCTTTGGAGGAACAGAGAGAGAGCGGGTCCGATAGAGGACACATAAGAAAGAACCCCAAAGACCAGCCCAGGACCAGCCAAGCCCTTGGTTCTGTCACTAATTGGTTCATGCTGGAGAAAGGCCCCGTGACTCCCTACCACATCATTCATTCATTCCAGAAGTTACTTCTCAGGCCTGAGGGTTGCGACTGGGGAAGCAGAGATGAAGCACACACTCCCTCCCAGGGCCTGTCCTCCTGTGGGGATAATACACTTGGAAACCTTCCAGGAGCCTAGCTAGGGGTCGAGATGTGGGATTCAGTAGGCCTAGGGGCTCTGCAGTTGACATCAGGATTCACAGAAGAGTGGGCACCCATGGAAAGCTTAGGAAGATGAGCAGGCATTTTGGGGCCCAGCAGCCTAATTCAAACAGGAAGCACCAGTGAGGCCAGACAGAGGCAGCAGCTGTAAACAGCCATTTGGTAGTGCCGGGGAGTTTATGCATGGGGACCCTAAGGCGTGAGTGACAGTCTTTAGAGGAATAACAGGAGGTTTGTGCTGTACAGTGTTCTGGCTTTGAATGGATAAGTATGGAGATCACGGGACCCAGTGGCCAGTTCAAATGAGCCAGGGCAAAGTTGAAAGGAAACAGTCAGCAAAATCTTAGGTACCTCGGGATGCGGGGGCACGGAGGAAGCCTGCCCAGCCCCATCCCTCCCAGGCCTAAGCAACAAAGAGAAAGCATGGGCCAGGCTGCTCAGCCATGCCTGGACTCCAAGAGAGCAAATCCATCTTATAACCCCTTGGCAACTGTCCCTGAAATGTCACTTGATGGATGGGGTGCGTCCACTCAGACTCACGTGGCGGGGTCAGCAATGGCTTGGGGGTGATGCTGAGGGTGTTGCCGGGGGAGGGACAGTGGGGAGCCAAGCTTCGGCCTGGGCTGTGGAATCCTCAGCTTCTTTGGCAGTGTGGACATGTTGCATTTTGTATCAAGACTCTTGGGGCTCTGTCCCTCTGCTCGGCAAAGGAGCCACTCTCCCCTTACTGATGGCCTCTCCTGCTCCTTCACCTGGGGCGCTCTTCCTTGGGTCTGTATCCTGAGGAGGCCCCAGCTTTTCTTGCTCCTGCCTGCTCCTCTCCTGCCCTTCCTGGCCCTGCTGTCAGCGCCCCCTAGTGCTAGGATGGCTGCTCAGGAGGGCTTGGGCCTCTGAAAGCCACTCAGGTCCTTGGGTCTCTCTGGGAAACTCCTGGGCTTGCTTGTGGGGAAAGAAGGGGTGAGGAGGGACTCTACTGGAGTCTGCTGCTTGCGCACTAATGCCCAGGGCCTCCCCTTTGCTCACTAGCCTTCCCATCTAGTGCCACAATCACCCCATCCCAAGATGAAGGTAAACCTGAAAACCAAGCTGGAGGAAAGGATCTGAGCAGCCTTCTGCCCAGAGAGTTATCTCATGGCCTTCCCAGGACGAAGGCCCCCACAGGAAGCCAGTGTCTCTGGGGGACCAGGCACCACAGCCAGTGCCTCAGCCGATGTCCACAGCCCCCTCCTGTTACTCACAACACTCACAACCTGCTGGAGTCTGTACTGTCCTAGTGTGCTCGTCTAGGCTGGGTTCTGGCCCAGACATGACTGGCATAGTTACATTTCCCTGCCCTTCCTGTGGCTGCTGCTGCTACTGCCGCCACCGCTGCCGCCGCCACCACCACCCAACTTGTGCTATCGTGTGACCTTCAGAGCTCGGGAGTACCTGGCCAGTGATGGCCAATCCAGTGGAGGCCATGGCCCCTCACTCCCTAACCAAAGCCAGCTGTGCTGCATGTGTGTGTGGCAGGGGCCTGAGTGGGCACAGGCTGGAGACTGAGCTCTGCCGCCATACCAGGTGACATATTGCTTGGTGCATCAAGTAACTGCTGTGAGGTCCTGCACTCCTGAGGTAGACAGGCAAAACTCTGTAACCACAAGCAGGCAGCCCGCAGAGGAAGAGGCTCGGCTGTCGTCTGAGCTTGGAGAAGACTCCAGAAACTGTCCGTCATGTGCATGTCCACATCTCAGGGCCAACAGCAAACAGCAAAGAAGGGGCAGGAACTGACCAACCTTAGAAACCAGGAAATGAACCCAGCAAGCAGGGAACCCTGCTCCCAGCCCTCTGCCCACACAGTTACTGTTGTGGATGAAGACTGGACGAGGCAGTTAAGGTTACCATAGCTAAATAAGATAGGTCTGTCTGCCATCCACAGTAGCAGTGTGGAGGTACAGGGACCAGGGCAGTGGGCCTTGCTACTCCACAGATCAACTCAGCATATCCATTCTGTGGAGAGCTGGCAGGGGCCAAGCAGGGGACCTCTTCAGTGGAATAGGCTCTCCCAAGCAAAGGATCCCATTGTACAGAGCTCAACCCTGGTTAGCGGGTAGGTTAAGTGGATGTGAGTAAGGAAACAATGGAGGCTAAGCTGGGAGAGAGCTCCAGGGACAGGTCAGCCAGGAGAAGAGCAATAGGGACAGTCACCTCTGCCGATTGTGTCTCTTCGCTGTCCTGGCCTCTGGCCACCTGCTGGTCCTGGACAGTGCACACTAAGGAATTGAGGGAGAATGCTGGCCGAGCCTGAGTGTGTGTGCAGGGGCTGGCCCATACCCCATGGGCAGCACTGCCAGCTACAAAGGCCATTACACTTCTGGCCTGAAATGAAAGAAACACCCAAGTCAAAAACTGGAGTCTGCTAGCCATGGGGACTTCTCCTCCCTCACCAAGCCCCTGTGGGGCCTGAGCTGCCACCTGGCCCCAGGGAGAGCAGGTGGGAACAAGCCTCACCCTGCAAAAAATACAAATGGACCTGCAATGGGGCTTTGCGGTGAGCAACCAGGCCCAGGGTGTGCCCCCATCTCCAGCCAACTCTGACCAAGCCTGGCCCTCTCCTGTTTTGCAGAACTTCAGCGAGAGGGAAGCATCGAGACTCTGAGTAACAGCTCAGGCTCCACCAGCGGCAGCATCCCGAGAAACTTCGATGGCTACCGGTCTCCGCTCCCTACCAACGAGGGCCAGCCCCTCAGCCTCTTCCCCACTGGCTTCCCATAGGCACCAGCCGCCTGCTGCTGACTGGCCGGCCTGCTTACCCTCTAGAAAGGCTGGGAGAAGCACGCCCCTGCCCCTCCTCCCCCAGCACGCCTCTGGTCCTCCTACCCTTCTCAGTCTCAGCTCCTCTTTCATCAATCCCACCTTCCCTAAGCTTAGTGACAACAGATACTCATCCTGACTGGAAGAGAAGAGACCTCCAGAACACCTCGGCACTCTCTGCCACTCCTGTCAGTGGGGGCTGTGGCCAAAAGAGACTGCGGAAACTCAGCCCCTTCTCTCTGCACGTGATGCCCTGCATCGGATCCGCTTTTGTATTTTCTAACGGTACCCACAGGGGGGCTGGAACAGTGGCCAGATCTTAGGGCCCTGGGTGGAGAGTTGAGTGTTCCAACCAGGCATTGTGGTGGATGCCAGCCCTAGCCCACTTCAGGCTGCGAGGCACACTGCTGCCAGATGTCCTTGCTCCGTTCCCTCCAAGATGGGAGTGAGCCGAGGCCCAGAGTGATGCGGAAGGAAGAAGGAAAAGAGGCCTCCCCTTGCCCCTTGCTTCCCCATTGGCTCATGGGGAGAATTTGTCTGTCTTATCTTTAAGCCCTTGTGCCCTGGCCCTGTACTGCTCAGTGAAGGAAACTGCGGTTACTGAGGCCATGTCAAAAAGCGCACGTCTTGTCCAATAAATCACGCTGCAATTGGTGTCCCTTCCTGAGTTGCTGGGGTCAGGGTCCTCTCCAAACACCGAGCAAAGTCCTCGGGTCTCCCAACACCCACACCTGCACTGTGTACAAGAGACGGGGAGCCCATGTTGGGAGGAAAAGGAGAGAAAAATCTTCCCACTGGAATTTAGGTAGAGCTTCACTGAAGTCTAATCTCCAAGATTCGTGCCTGTTACCAGAGGCTCCGAGTTCTAGAGGTGCCCAGCCCCTGCCCTGTGGTAGGTTGTTCTGGGAAGAGAGCTTACCCTTGCCTGTGGCCTTATCTTAGGGCACTTGGGAATCACTGCTCTTTCAGGATGGAAAGACACAGATCCTGTCCGCCAGAGTTGGGTATCTTGTGAAAGTTGGAAAGCCTCTGGTAGCTAGTTCTTGGGGTTTTGTTGTTTTGTTTTATTTCTGAGACCAGGTTTCAGGTAACTCAGGATGACCTCTATCTCATTCTGTAGCCAAGGCTAACCCTGAAGTCCTTGATCTTTCTGCCTCCACCTCTCAAGTGCTGGGATTGCAGGCACATGCCACCATACCAAGCCTGAATTCTCATTTCCTCCCTCCTCCTGTTGAGGACTAAATGGTGACAGGGAGACGGCTGACAACAGAAAAGATGGTAAATGGGAAAGACTCGAATATAGTTCCTCTTTCTCCACCTACACCTCCCAGAGACCCCTGAGAAGGCCTTGAAGGACTGAAGGAAAGCCACTGAGCCAGGTGTGCTTTGTGGTGGAATTTTTAATAGAAGGGTTGAATTCACAGGCAAGCAGCCTTCCCACCCAGCCATCTGGTCAGAGCTGGGGCAGCTCCTGGCCCCCTGCCCTCTCCGTAGCCCCCACCCAACACCCAGTGCCTGAAGAGAAATTTAATATTCAGACGCCTTCACCAGAACAAGTGAACATACGGGGAGAAGACCTGAATCTCACAGTCCCTCCCTCCTGCCAGGGCTCCTGGGGGCTGAGAAGGAGGCTGGGGGTGGGGGGTCAGGTCTGGAACTCCCCGGGAGAGCAGCTCTTTCCAGCTTGGGCATCATTTGACGTCGGTGTGCCTGGCACAGCCCCATCCCCAGCTGGAGCAGTATTTTAGTCAACAGTACAGGAGGGTGCCACGGGCTGCTTTGTGCACACAGCTGGTGTCGCGGCTGCCTGGGGACGGGGACGGAAGCTCTGGAAAGCAGGACCCTTCTGCACCCTGCCTTGGGTGCATGAGCGGGACAGAGACACTGCTGCCAGCAGCTCTCTCAGCCATGGAGGGGACCTGCCGACCCTGGCCCAGCCCTTTCCAGCGGGGAGAAAACAGATGTGGCCTCCTCCAGTCAGGGAAAGTGGTGGGTGTAGTTACCGGCCTGGCCGGCTGAGCTTGCAGGACAATCTGGTTATTCATCTGCTTGCAGTCAGGGCAACTCTAAGTAAGTGGGGGGAAGGGTGAGGATCAGAGAGCTTAGATAAGCCGGCCCCATAGCGGCTGCCATTGGAGTTCAGGTTATCTGGAAGGCCCTGGGCCTGGCCCCCAGCTAATTGGGAAGGTTAGGGACCCAGCCATGGCCTGTAATCAGCTGGAGGTGAGAGCTGGACAGGGGACCTTACTGCCACTAGCCCTAGAGCGGCCAGCCTCTTATCCTCTACAGATAACATCCAACACAACCTCCGCCTCCCCAAGGCAACCCCCCGCCCCCAGACCTCATGATAGCATCACTCAGAAGGTCATCAGAACATGGATCTAATTGTGACTGGGCCAGGTGACCTTGAGGACCACAAGTGACCTCCTAATTCTCACAGTACTTCCTACCCATTGGGCTCCCTCTCAATCTGATGGATGAAAATACCTCTGTGATCTGCAAAACGGTGCCTGCCGGGAACTGGCAACTCAAAAGGCATGGCAATGTCTGGGAGTGATTCAGTAACCAGCCCAGTGGTCCAAGGGCAAAATCACACACAAGCACAGACATCAGGGCGGGCTCTGCCAGGGGCATGCAGGAGCCAGGCCAGACAGCCACGAGGCTGTAACTGGGGAGAATTTCTCAATGCTCGGCTTTAGTTTTTTATAAATCAGAGACTAAGCCCAAAGCTGTTGAACGCCCATTCCACCCTCCTTTGGCTGATGACAAGCCTGAGCCCCAAGGAGGGCAGGGCCTGTCCCAAGGTCGTGGGGTCACACAGCTAGTCAGCTGACCCCTTTCTGCACCTTGCTGCTCCCTGTGCCCTGGCCAGCTTCTGTAGAGCCACCTGAATCCCAGCTGACCTCTCTGCCCAGGGCCCCTCAGACAATCCCAGACTCACTCAATCCTAGGTCTTCAGGTTTTCAGCCAGACCTCCTGGCTGACTTTGAAGACGCTCCCTGAATGACCCCCTTCCCTCTGTAGGTACACACACACACACACACACACACACACACACACACACACACACCTCCTGCAGATGGGATGCAATGCTGCCACCACCTTTCTAAGGAGCGGATTTGGGATTCCGGTCTAGCTTTTCCACCCGGAGCCACCTAGGCTAAGGACCTGCAGCTCTAGGCTTCACACTTCTCCTCTGCAGGGAGAGGAACTGTGCAGTGCGGGTAGCATGGCCGAGGAAAGGGGGATGCTGAGGTCGGAAGGCAAAAGGGGGCTCAAAGGCAGCTAACTGGGCGTGGGACTGCGCTGTTCCGAAGGTAACCCAGGGAACCAGCCTGCGGCGCCCGCCGGCCCAGCCCTGCCCCGCTGATGTAGGTGGGCTAGTCCTGGGGACCATCTCAAGCCGCTTCACTCTCCCTGAGATCCCAAACACCCGCTCACGTACAGGCTCAAGTTCAAGACTTTTGCTGACCTTTGGGTTGCAAGGGCAGTAGCTGCACTTCGTGACACCAAGGCTCAGGGTAGCTGAGTGAGTGGCAGGGTTCCTAAAACTCTGGGGAGAGTCTCCCAAAATCGATAGGGACACAACCTGGGTTCCTAACCACGTGATCTGTCAAACTACAGAGAGATGCCCGCCCAGCCCTCCACCCCAACCCCACTCCGGGGAGCAAGTGTGTCCTGGACAGAGACAGATTAGTTGGGCCTGGCCTTGGCATCGACCTGGACGACAGGCACTGGGCCACACAGGAGCTAACTGTTCCAGTGCCTCCCAGAGCCCAGGTTGCCCCGCGGCTGGTCCTGGCACCAGACTAGGGCCACACCGCGACCAGGAAGTGAGGGTCGGGCAGCCCACTCTTCCCGTGTCCGCCTGCCGCACCCCAAGCCTGTTGGCCAGACCCTGCGCTGGGTAATTGGGACGAGAGGCGACCGGCGAGCAGCGGCTCCAGGGAGACTGCGCGCCTGTCAGCCGCAATTTGTTTAAGTGGACGGGACAGGCCGGGCCGCCGCGGGCTGGGGTCACCAAGGCCGCGGCCCCCAGCCTGGCCAGACCCGGGACCGCGGGGGAGCCCAGTCCCTACTGCTTAACTGGGCTAGCTGGCGCCAAGGCTCCGGGAGGCGCGGGTCCGGTGGAGAGGCCGAGGACGGCGAATTCGCCTGGGGTCTCCCCGGCCGCTTTTCCCGACTACGGGGCCACCCAGCCCAGCTCTCCCCGGCCCGTCCATACGCCAGGGCACGCTCAGTGCCCCATTACCCGTGCCCAGCGCCCCTCGCCCGACTCTGCCACAGGACCACACATCCCCCAGCCTTCGCGCCTCCGCCCCACGCGGGCGCAGGCACCCACGGGGATGCGATGGGAAGGATCAGCTCGGGAGAGAGTGGTCTCAGTGTAACCCGGTCAGAAGAGACCCGGCAGCTCTGCGGGGCTCGGGACCGCAGCCCTGGGCCGCCCAGGATGCGGGGCTCGGTACGGGCACGTGAATGGGCCCCGGGACCACGAAGCCGGCGGCCGCCCGACGCCCCCCCCCCCCCCCCCCCGGCCCGCGCGGGGGGGGGGGGGGGGGCCGGGGGGGGGGCCCCCGGCCCCCCGCGGGGCGCGCCCCCCCCCCCCCCCCCCCCCCCCGCCCGGGACCGCCTGCGAGAGGGAGGGGCGGCCGGGCGCGCGTCCCCCGCCCGTCTGCGGGTCCCGACCGATGCGAAGTGACAGGGGCCGGAGCTTTGTTGTAGAGCCTCGGCCGCCTGGCGCCAGGCGCCCTCGCCCGTGCCCTCCCCCTCCAGCCCCGGGCGGCCCGCGAGGCGCCCCCCGGGGCCTCTTAAAGAGACACGCACACTCTGCCCGGGGGGGGGGGGGGGGGACTTCCCCCGGGGCGCCTGTTCCTAGGAAGGGGAGAGGGGGGCGGCCCGGGCGGGGGTGGGGCGGAGCAGGAGCCGCGAGGCGCCGCCGGAGAGGCTGCCCCGGCCGCCTCAGCGCCAGTTTTCGATGGCCCGAGCACGTTCTAAAGCAGAAGTTTGACTGCGGACGATGAGTCGATAAAGAATCTCAAGAGCGGCCGAGGCAGGTCCTCCGACCCCAACCTGCCAGGAAAAAGTCTCTGTGACCAGCCGCAGGGCAGGTCCTCGACTCCACGGTCAGGGTTCAGATCCCCCCTCCCACCCCGGCTGCAGACGCGGCGCGGTAGCCGCCGGCTTCCCGGACCACTGACTCAGACTTTTGTGTTTCCAATCTCGGGCCTAGGCGCCCAGACCAGCTACGGTGAAATGTCCAAAACACACGCCCCGGTACCCACACATTCTTCCCAGGTGCTTGTAAGGAACGTACGAACAACTTAGCGCTTTTAAGTACACGACTTAGCAAGTGTGTTGCTAATTCGGGAAGCTGGCCTGGCGATTGTTTGTTTGTTTGTTTGTTTGCTCGTTTGTTCGTTCGCCTCACAACTGCGCAAGTGCAGTCCAGGCGCTTCTCTCCTGGGGGGCCGCATCCTGTCTGAACTGGAGCTTATGCAAAGCTGCCCTGGACTCCCACCCCTACCCCCAGCTGCTGGAGACGGCAGAAGCCCGAGCTGGAGGTGCGCTGGGGGCAGAGGAAGAGAGTGAGAAAGGGAACCCAGGCGGGAGTGAGGTCTGAAGAAAAAGCCCCGCGCGGCGGGCGCGCACCC